ATTACCCTGTTACACTCTCCCACCGACGCAGCACCACAGTTTCTTTAGAAACTTCCCCCACTTCAGCCAGTTCTGATTAGTTTACCCATTAGAGTCCTCAAAGTTTAAAACCAAACATTCTAGAAACCCACGAATGTATCACGTCGGGGATCAAACTTGCTCAACTGCGATCAAAAGATCTAAAAGCAACTGATCTTACGACATCATACAAGTATATATACCCACGAATCCACATTTTATACAGTTGCAAACACGCGCACAGTATTTCATTTTTCCTACAAGTCAGATCTTCGCCTAACGTATACTTTGAAGAGAAGTCATATGATTAGGTATACTGACATAGTTGTCTTCATCCACGGTTTCAAAATCTGGCTCTGTAGCTGACTCATCGCACAGGAACACCACTCTGGAATGTGGATTGTCGATACTAGGATCACTTTAAAGCAGAGGATTTTGTCAGGTTCAAAATTTTGACTCAGAGTCAGCTTTAAGAGACATAGATATTTGTTGCCTAATTACCGTAAATATGTTTGGGAAAGCAAATTGGATCAAGTCTATCCATATAAATGTAACGAGCCCTAGCAAAAGTTATTCTAAGTTGACAGGTCACATTCAAGTGAATTGACAGTAAATGTAATTTTTTTTCTCGCATGCACATCTTTGGTTGATCCGAAAATATCCGATTAATTTCTTTTAGTCCTGGCACACGTAAGATTTCTCGAAGGTCTAAATTCTATTTCTTCGCCCAAAGAAATTCAGAGAAGCGGTTGCTGTCACCAGTTTGCGCATAGAAAAATGTTTAATTTATTATAATCTCGATCGATGCATCGTAATGACATGCTTATGGATTCCGGATCAAGATGCGAAAGTGATATCGGCAATCCTTTGCCTTTCAGTCAACAAACAAGCTTAATCGAAGGAAATCTTTCCTACTAGTAATTAGTTACATGGCAAGGAATCAGAATACAGCTTACTTGGTCTTATACACGAGCTCTATCTGTCCTTCTTGGTTTATGTCACACATGATGTCTTTTTGCAAACCAACCTCAAAGTACTCGCGCGGTTTTTCAATCTCGGCGTATTTGCAAATCTGGAGGGATCGAAACGACAATTTATTGCTAAGAACAACCATGAGCATAAAGTTACCATTCTCATCAAATAATTCAAATATCAAAAAAGAAATCGTTAAAAACCTTTCCCAAAGTAACTATGTCATATTGAAATGAACAATTATTGGTCTGCAAGGAGGTATATAAGAAAAGAGGAAGAGAGTACTACAGTTAAAACAACAGAAAACTTCACTAAACGACAGAACCAACAAACATCATTAAAACAACAAATTTTTATCAGTAACAGAAAAAAGCAAGTAACGGAAGCGTTTCAGTTTTAAGAAAAAATCAGTCAAAAGTCACAGGATAAACTCACAGCAACATCTCGACATATTTTGTGAGGATCGGCATCAGGATCATGTTCTCCCACATCTACAGGCGTACAAGGATTGTACGTGTATCGCCAACCAGGATATTTCTTGCCAGCAATCAAAAACCTGTTTTAAAAACATTGAGAGAAACCGTCTGAGTCACGTAATCCTTTCGAAATGTCAGTACACTCAGTAAATATGAGTTGTCTCTCAAATACATGGGCAAAACTGAGAAAATCCTAGGTCAAATATCTACTTGATACAAACATGTTATCATCAACTTAAGAATTACGAAGTAATCTGGTTTTATCAACTAAGTTAATCATGTATATTTGGGCCACCGTAGAGAGTTTCTAAAGCTGATATTGGGGTTTTTGACCTCAGAGCGAATGACGAAGGCTAACGCTCGAGGCGTCAGCTTTAGAAACTCTTTACGGTGGCCAAAATATACATTATCAACTCAGTTGATTGCAAAAATTATCTTGTGAACTGTCGATTGTACTGACAACCTTGTGTACCTTGGTTTTCCGTCTGTTCTACGCAGCGGCATCAAGCTGTAGATTCCTCCATCGAATGTCTTGCAAGTGCAGTTGTTGACTATAGTGATACCTTGGCCGTAACACTCATCGATGCACCATAATAGTATGAGTCCTAACAATTGTTTGATCTTCATTTTAGCCTGGAGGAAGTTGATGGAAAAATCAAATTAAACGGACTGTATCAAAGCCATTTAAATTGAGAAAAGATTGTGCATCGGCATGAATTAGGAGGCAATTTCGGAAATAAACAAACTAAACGCGCACAAGATAAAACTCCACCTCTTCTTAGTACTGTGTTCATTCGAAAAATAATAAAAGAAGAATCTTCCAACTTAAAAGTACTCAATGGGAGGTTTGTAGTCTCGTGACTAACAACACTATTCTCAGAATTAGCCTAGGTGTCAACTGGACGATTGCGAAACTTCTCGTCGAATGACTCCATCGCCTGAGTAGAATATCAAACACATGTTTCGCAAATAGTACCATTTCCTATGTATATTTTCTATTCGACAAACGTTTTGGCTTCCTCGTGCAAAGTTAAGTACACGGTCTGGCGTTTTTTTACAGAGATTCAAAAATTTTCCACAGGGAATCGAAGATGTGCCCAAACATATATCTTTCTGCTGATTCAAAAAGTAAACCGAATGTATAATTCTCATTGCATGTGGGAGGTATGTTTTGTTTTTGTTTTTTTTCTGAACCCACAATAAGATAATTTGAGATTCAAGATATGGGCTTCCCTCATTTTGGATCATTTCTACTAATTTAAAAGTTTCAATATCCCTTGGATGTCAACCCATTCCTTGCACATTTGTTATTTACAGACTGCAAAGACCTAACCTCGAATTTTAAATGATCCGTGTATCGACTTTTGCGTGTTGTAGGCAAAAAATTTTGCAATCTAGAGCATTTCAATGGAACTAGAGAACTAGTGAATTAAATTCATCTCAAGGAACACGACACGGAAGGGAATCTAATCCCGCTGGAGGTCTGATGCCAGACCTTTTAGCTGCAGAGAACCCACACGGGAAAAAAGCTTTTAACTACGTTCTTACGTATCAATATCTTACTTCGAAGTGAATCCTGGCTCTGCGAGGTCGCCACTAACGATTGCAATTTCCGGGAATTTCCTTAAAGCCTGCTCCTAAAAGATGTCACGCTCGATGTCACTGCAAATGAGATCAATATTTATTCTCAGAAATTCCGGATTTTGTTTCTCACATGATGACCCATGCTCCAGTCAACGGTTCAGTTCCCGGAACGACATCAGAAAATAACAATGATTTAATAGGGTTATTTTTGGTAGTGATCAAAGAATTAAGTTTGTTTTTCGCAACCGAATGTCAAAAGTGATCGATTGTGAAGAAAGCATCAGCAATAACCACTAATTGATCGCAAGATGTTTTGACAGCGCAACGAGAAAGGTTACTGACGTTTGTTAATAACCATCTCTAAGAGAAATATCCATTTTGAATACTTATGAAACTGTTTTTTTCCTTTCTTTTTACAGAAAAGTTGAACTTGATACAGATAGTAAACGGGATTTAAAGGCCAAAAATTGCACTCAGAAGCTTGGTGTCACTGGATTCAGGAGGTATCAATAATTAACACTGTTTTACGCTCGCTATGTTTATCTTATGTGACTCAACAGGTCTGGCTCGTGAAAACATCATTGTTCTGTGTTCTTGATAGAGTTACCCTTTTATCTTCAGTACATCATAATGATTCTTGATTTTCTACTTTGAAAGGTGATTTCAGAAGTCAGATGTGAGCCCACATCTGCGTTTTATATTGTGGCACACTCTCGCATTTTTCAATTCGAGTTCATAAAGTCTGCAGCGTTTCCAGGAATCATTTACCAAATACGGTCTTTTAAAAAGTCCACTAAGTATCAAATACAATTATCTTACTAACAGTCGTTTTGCCGCTTACTATTACTTAAAAGACTAATTTGCTGAGGTAAACTTGTGTATCGTTAAGATGAGCGTTATTTCACTTTGAATTATTATTACAATTAATGTAGACATCCTTATTCTAATTGCGGTCTTGCGATGGCTTGTGAACTGATAAACTTTGGTAGAGCGGAAGTTGATCATGTGATGACTAATCCAAAAACTTGTAATTGGCTTTACAGAGGTCATTCAGTTTCGGTCAGGAGCCAGCCAAAAGAAGAAGCAGAATTTTTCTCTTAGGAAAAAGCTGTTTTCCGTGACAAGGTAATAGATATGTACTTTTACTTAAGGAGACCTATAATAACGCTCAAGATATTTAAGAGTCTATCGAATGACATTTGTGAATAGATTCCAAGAAAACCAACGGCTCGAAATCGATCAATTTGCATGCGTAGATTTTATGAACGGAAACCAAGCACTAGCGTGCCCAGGCCGATATTTTCAGCCTATTTTTCTTTGAAATTCACCTGGTGATCATTTTACAAACCATATTCAAACGACTGTTGTTTTCAGAGAAAACGTTTGACCTTTTTTTTCTGAGAATGGTTCAATTGGCCTTTATCGAGTCTAAACGAACATATTCACAATGATTGAGAAATTTTAGACTGATAAGAAAGCGTAGCCCTGAACTGGCAAGGTCCTAAAACTTCCAAACAATCGGGCTCTGGAAATATGTAGCTCCGTTACTTCAGCGACAAGCTATGTCAAATATAAATCTGCTTGATTTCAGCTTCACTCACGAAATTCAGGTTACTTACACAACGTAATACTTTTCATGTTGTCTTTGTACATTCTCTTCCTTCTTTAGGCTAAGATGCAGAACAAATGCCTGTTGGGATTGATTTTTCTGTCGTGCATGAACAGATGCATTGCTCAGAGCATTCAAACAATCAACAACTGCACGTGTCAGACATCAGATGGAAACTTTTACAGTCTGTGGCCCCTCAGAGGAACAGAAAAACCACAGTATGTTAAGTTTTCTCTTCTGCTTTCCATCTTGTTTTTTTAATTGACGACGAAATGATATTTGCAAAGGGATTTTCATCCTTCTATTTAGGGCTAATATCAAATCATATCAATCATAATCATGGAGAGTGGCTCGATTAAGATATATGAAATCTCGATTTGCCTTTTGGAAACAAAACCTTTATTATCATGAATTGTTCTCAGACTCGTTTACATGCATTTGATGATCCTTCCTTTACTAAGTAGTTGCTCTGTCTTTAATTCTGTTCGAAACAAGTGCAGAGCAAGAGGGGTTCTCAATAATCATGTGACGTCCCTCTTTGTCAATAAAAGAGATAATTTAGAATGATTAAAACAACCTGGCATGCACTAAAATGCCAATAGGAAATTAGTATAAGCTTCTCTCCCAAAGAATCATCTCCACTTCCGATAATGCCTTTGTAATTATGTTCTTATTTTTTTTGTCTGGACAATAGCTTCATTGATGTTAAGGGAAAAAATGGTTGGAGGTATGCTTACAATCCTTGTACCTCTATGACATTCGGACAAGATGATCCAGACCATGGAAAGATATGTCATGATATCGGAGTAGGTTCATCATACAGCCTTAAATTTCTAAAGCTTTGCAGTGTTTTGTTGTTATTGTTTTTGTTCTGTTATTTTAGTGGCTTCCTGTTTCCGATAATTGTAGCAAGTAAGCGTTGCTAAATTAATGTCCTGCAGACTTTTTTTCTGAGTATACCTTGTTGATTTTTTTTTTTGCATCTTAACATCTTTTACAGAAATTCCAATTTAAAACTACGGGAAGCTGATTTTGATTGTCAAATTTTATTTAGATATGTAAATATCCTGAAATAGAAAAACCGCGTGATTACCTACAAGTTGGTGTGCAGACAGGGGTCAGATGTGCACTAGGCGCAGAAGGACAGATTGAGCTGGTGTATAAAACAAAGTAGGTATTTCTTGCAAACAAATACAAGCCATTCTTATGTTGAAATTTTCTGTCAGGCGCCAATTTAAATTACGTTATGTCAAAGGGTTACTGCATTATCAGCCGACATATCAGCCCCCTAATAAGGGGTTTATTTACTGAATACAACGATCAGGTAGCATTTGATCGACAATTATTCTTCAAGTGTTGGAAATCTCTGAAATTATTCTCACTATTACCAATTTATAAGCCAAAAACAAAATTCAAAAGTACTTAACTTTTGCACATATCATCGCAGCGATCCCTCTATCGACCCAAAACATTCAACGGTACAGCTTATTTGTGACCAGACTATTCCATTCCCGGATTTCGA